AAAACCTTAACTATACACAAAAACAGCAATCAGATTGATTTGATTCCATCATCCTTCAATCGGGCGAGACCCTAGCTTCCTGGGTATAATCGATGCGAATAGAACGACGCAACATCTGAAACCGAAACTGAAAGCACGAAGAAATCATCTTAAACGCAGAGATCTGAAGTCAAAGAAGAAGAAAACCTGAGAGATCAAACGAACGATCAATATCTTCGATTCGAGATGCAAAAAAAAAAAGATATTTCTTTTTTGACGCGGGAACAAAAAGAAACGAATGAATCAGCTCTTTCCTTTGAGATGTATTTATAGATGGACATGGAGGTTTATCGGTATTGTTTCTTAATCGGGCTCAACTAATAAGGCCCATAATCACGTGGACTGAAATTAATGAGTCAAGAAAATTAAATGAACTGTGTTCTAGCGTTATGCGGCCCTGTTGCTAGATTTTTTACTGTATTAAACGAATTTTATACAACATATTTAATCGTGACAAAAAAATACGGTCTATTTCATAAAATCTAGAGTCCGACGATTTTGTTTTCAATTTTTTAGAAAACTAGGTGATTACTTACGCATGCGCGGAATAAAATTTATATATTAATAATCACTGAATACTATTTTTAATCATTCAACCATAATGTCAAAAGTCTCTAAACACATGGTTATGAACCGTCAGTATAAGTTTGATAAATAAAGTAATGTTTGTTAATATATTTTTAAAAAATATATTTAATTTACATTAGACTTCAATAATACTAGGTGTTTTATGCACCATGTGCAAGAAAAACATTTAAAATATTTTTAAAAGATAAATATAAATTATATTTAAAAATAATATTTTATTAGTATTGTAAATTGTTTTATCAATATTTTAATATAAATTTTATTTAACCCTACATAAAAAATTAAGATAAAATAATTTTGTTTGTTTTAGATTATAATTAAAAATAGAGAAATTAGACAAAATGTACATTGCACACACACATAAAAAAATTTATAACCATTACACATCTTAGGCTATGATATTTGTGTAATAATTGCTATATTATCCTTGACATGCACACATTTGATTTTTGTTTTCTTTTTTCTTTTCTTATAAATATGTTTTTCCCTTCTACTTTTCAATTTTTTTTTAATTTCTGTTAAAACAACAATAAATACATAACATAGTTTTTTTCTATACATAATATGTTTTGAAACTTTGAAAACAACTCCAATTCGAATCAATATAAAGGGAAATCAAAGCGGAAAATAAGAAAATGTACATAATTTAGAGAGTAAAATAGATTGGAACAGATTACAACGCTAAATTTGAATTGAAACTAACTTGAGAAGTTTTGGAGGGTGAGCGTGTTTTCACATTTTTATCACATGTTTAATTAAAACTAACGTCATCAACATAGTCCTAAATCGATGTGTAAACTGCAAAATTCAAAAGTTAGTGTATTTAGTTGAAAACATAAATTATTCTGTGTATTAAACGGAGATCTAAAATAGTTCGTGTATTTTATTAACAAATGAAAATAGTTCGTGTATTTTTAATGAATTTATTTTCATAATTTAAACATGTGTCATGTGTTCAATTAAACACTAACGGTGTTTATAAACCCGTTACATATAGTTAACGCCATTAAAAACGATGTGTCAAATCTTCGAATTTAAAAAATTTGTGTATTTAATAGGTAACGAAAATTAGTTCGTGTATTAAATGGGGATCCAAAATAATTCGTGTATTTTATTAGTAAATATAAATCAATTCGTGTATTTTAAAGGAATTTTCCCAATGCTAATATTAAAAAGTCCGTGAAAGAAATACACGACGGATAAAGTTTGTGTGTATGCCGTTTTCCGATTAGATGAAGAGAGGCCTAACCACATGCTAAAAGACAATTAACCATTGGTGTTACAAAAAAAACAAGTAACCATGCAAATTAAGAGTAATCATACTTCTGGAATTAACTCCTCATATAAGAACATGAACATCACATTGACTAAGCAAAAGGATAATTGCATCCAATGATATAAGGGTTGCACACTATCATTTTATGAAAACAAAACAAAATGACATTTCAACCTTTTCAAACCATTTATTGATTCTCGTCTCGATTTTTATACCAATGAAAATACGACTTCTGATAACAGTACAAACAAAATTGACTTACATACATACATGATACAACTGAAATACAATCGTTGAAGAGTACTCAAATTTTTTTAGACCGTATTTAATAATTTAAGTTATATCCATATATTGTTTAAGCAAAAATAAAATCAAAGCAATTTTAATATATGTAATTGTCCGTATGAACATCCTGTGATTCAATTCAGCAGTAGATAAATACCTGTGTGTTTTGTCAAAGATGACATCTGCAAAATCTTTTATTAAATCGGGAAAATATCAAAGAGAATCAAGTTAGAACAAATCAATATGTTGCCGAGTTTGGTGGTGCTGACAAAAGTGGATGAGAGAACACTTTGACTTAGCAATTGATTATATAGATAACTGAGATTAGGTTTAGGCTCAAACATGCATTTTTAGGGTCTGACGGTTTATAGTTTACATAGCCTCTTGGTTTAAATTGTAGAGTTCATACAAATATGTACCATATAAGATGGTTCTAATTTTCTATTAAATTAAGTTTATTTTCACAACCTTCCCAATCCTCAAGATAAAGAAAATATTTATCATATTAATAATATATATTAAAACTAATAGGGGAAATTGGAAAATTGGGACACTTTGAACTTTTATTTGTTCATATAGGATTTCTCATACTTTTGGCAATTCTGGACATGTTTTACCCTTTATTAGTGAAAAAAAATAGTAAACTAATTTTGAAAAATAGAAAAAAATATGAGAATGCTAGAAAACATAAGTATGACAACATATATGTTTAAGTTTTTATTTTTTAAAACTGGAATCATGTTTTATTTTATCTTCTAGTTACAAATAGAATACTCGTTCTAGTTATCTACTCAATTTAGAAATCATATACTGGGTGTTCTTGCTAGATAGACCCGAGGTATGAAACGTAATATAACATTTTTTGTCTATTCTAATCAAGGTACTATTGGTAACGTTATAATCAAGGCATATGTCTTTGGTGTACGTGAAGATAGATACCGATTTATAACCATAACTTATTGATATACCTCATCTAGATTTTGTGCCATAACCAATTCAACATGTTACCTTATGTGACGCTTGAGAAAGAATACGTTTCCCACCTTTTCTACTGTGTTCTGCCTTAGGTAGTATACATATTCTAGGTAATCCGCAAAATATGGAAACTTCCATATTCGGTTGAAGATGTTTCCTAAATATCTTAGAGAATATTTTGTCCATGATTTTCTCTCTTCCTGACGGGATCGATCGATCCCAGAAAGAGTCGGTCGATCCCGACGGTCGATCTCGATGATTAAACAAAAACATAAAAAAGCACGGAGCAGAAACTGATCGACCTTGTCCAGTTCAGTCGATCTTCACCGATCAATCTATCATAGATCGATCGATCTCTATTGTAGATCGATCGATCCCGATCCCAGATAATAGAACCGAACCGAAAATAACCAAATATTTCTCTTTGAATCAGTTTTGATCCTCGGGTGTGTTGAATCATGAGTCACCTTGATACATAATGTGTTCTTCGCGTACGAGTATGTGTTGAATTGTTACATAATTATGTCAGAGAGAAGGCGGAATCGCCATGGGTGAGAGCTCGGCGGAGAAGATGATGTAAAACAAAATTAGGGTTATCGATTTCCCTTTTGTACTTTGTGTCCCGATTCTTGTTTTTGTTTTTTGTTTTTTTTTTGTTTTGTTTTATTTATAATTTAAATTTATAATTCTCCTTAATTGATTAATTTAAAAGGTATTATGGTATTAACAGATTTGAAAATCTTATTTTCCCAAAAAATCTTCTAAAAGTCTTATAGGGACAAATCCAAGTTAAGAGTGTCATAATTTTCCCAAACTAATATAATAGTAAAATTAATATAAATATATTTAAAATGATGTATATGCCGACAATATATAAGAATCTATACATAGAAATAAAAGAGAGAGAGCAGTTGTAATAAGAAGCCAACACTTCACAACAAAAGCAGAAGTGAAGAAGTACCCTTCAACCATGTCATCGTTCTCATCTCAACTACTGCCTTTCGGTGGCCTTGGTCAAAGCCATATCAATCCTTCTATACTATTTCATGATCATTCACCTTATTTACTTCATTGTCACCAATCTCATTTCACATGATCTATTCATTACTTCCACAACTAGAACTCTCATCAAATTGAATACTTGTGGAAAAATTATGGTTAAGATGAATAAATATAAACACAACATGTAATAGCATTTATATATAGACACTGGCACAGCCGCAACATAAATGTAAAATAATTATTTTGGCTAAAAATAAATGTAAGACACTTGCAATTGCCATATTCCAATGTCTCTCCTCTGACTCTCTTTGACCTCTGTCTTCTCTTTCCATTGATTGCCTCATTAAGCTTACGTTACACACACACTCTCAATAATCATCAAGTGAGTCGATAAAAAAAATCGAGTGAAACGACTGAGGATAAGAAGAGAGATTCGCGTGTTGTCATTTAAATGGCGGTATCTATAGATTTAAACTTATACCCCCTTTGCTCAAAAACAAAACTTATACCCCCATCCCTAGCTTTATCTGCATTTACTTCTCCGATCTTACTCACCACATTAAACATATATATACGCAAACATATGCTCAGATTATATGTCTATATAGATATGACAGAGAGAGAGAGTCCCCATGCACCGTTCTTATGACCAATAATTCCTCTTCAACCAAAGGGACCAACAATTGTCTTAACTTCTCTATGTTTCCAACACTAGTCTCACACTAATCACTACAAGAAACTCAAGATACTTCATTTACTTTCATTCGTCTCTTGTTTCCTGAAGAAGAAGAAAGACGAAGAAAAAAATATGCAGCAAAGTTCTCTTCTTCTTGTTATGCTCGTCCTCTGGTTTTCAATCAGGCCGGGTTTGGGTCAACCGGGTCAAAGTGTCGATCTTCAAACTCTTCTCGAAGTGAAGAAGTCTCTTGTCACAAACCGAGAAGACGAAAACATTCTCCGAAACTGGAACTCCGATGATCCCAATTTCTGCAACTGGACCGGTGTCACGTGCCGTGGTCGTGTCGTCATCGGTTTAAATCTCTCTGATTTTGACTTATCCGGTTCAATACCTCCTTCAATTGGCCGGTTTAGTAACCTAATCCACCTCGATCTATCTTCCAACAGTCTCGTGGGTCCCATCCCAACTGCTCTCACCAACCTCTCCTCTTCGCTGGAAACTCTGCATCTCTTCTCTAACAAACTCCAGGGCAAGATACCGAGTCAACTCGGCTCACTAGTTAACCTCAGGTCGTTAAAACTCGGAGACAACGACCTCAGCGGATCAATCCCGGAGACTTTCGGGAACCTTGTCAGTCTCCAGACGCTCGCCTTGGCCAAGTGTAGACTCACCGGTCCAATACCAAGGCAACTCGGTCGACTCGTTAACGTGCAAGCTTTAATTCTCCAACAAAACCAGTTCGAAGGACCGATCCCACCCGAGTTAGGAAACTGCACCAGCCTCGTTTTTTTCACTGCAGCTTTTAATGGCCTCAACGGATCTTTACCAACAGATTTGAGTCGACTCCTAAACCTCCAGATACTTAATCTGGGAAACAACAGCTTCTCCGGAGAGATACCGAGTCAACTCGGTGATTTGCGCAATCTACAATACCTTAACTTGGTTAGTAACAGACTTCAAGGTTCGATTCCAAAGAGATTAACCGGTTTAGAAAATCTTCAAACCCTTGATTTGTCCAACAACCATCTCACCGGAGAGATACATGAAGAGTTCTGGAAGATGAGCCAGCTTGAAGATTTAGTTCTAGCCAATAACCGTCTCTCTGGTTCATTACCAAAGAGCTTGTGCTCTAACAACACAAGCTTGAAGCAACTGGTTTTTTCTGGAACTCAACTCTCCGGCGAAATTCCGGCGGAAATTAGAAAATGTCAGTCATTACAAGCGCTTGATCTGTCGAACAATACACTCACCGGTCGAATCCCGGATTCATTGTTTACTCTCGCTGAACTCAGGGTTTTATATCTTCACAACAATACCTTGAAGGGTACGTTATCTCCCTTAGTATCTAACCTAACGAATCTACAAGAGCTTGCTCTGTACCACAATGACTTGGACGGAAAGTTACCAAAACAAATCGGTTTTCCAGCAAATTAGAAGTAATGTATCTGTACGAGAACCGGTTTACTGGTGACATCCCGACTGAGATTGGGAACTGCACGAGTCTGAAGTTGATTGATATGTTTGGGAATCATTTCAGTGGAGAGATCCCTTCTTCCATTGGGAGAATAACAGACCTTACTCTGCTTCATTTGAGAGAGAACGAGTTAGTTGGTAGCATTCCCGCCACTTTAGGTAACTGTAACAAGCTGACGATTCTTGATTTAGCTAATAACAAGCTCTCGGGTTCGATTCCTTCCTCGTTAGGGTTCTTGAAGTCGTTAGAACAGTTGCATCTTTACAACAATTCTCTTCAGGGGAATATTCCGAGTTCACTTATCAACCTGAAGAATCTCACAAGGATCAACTTCTCAAGCAACAAGCTCAATGGCTCCATCAGTCCGTTGTGCGGTTCAAGCTCTTATCTCTCGTTTGATGTCACGGATAACGAATTGAAGGGAGATATACCTCTTGAGCTTGGGAATTCTCACAATCTCGACCGTTTAAGGTTAGGGAAGAATCAGTTGACAGGAAGAATCCCTTGGACATTTGGGAAGATTCATGAGTTGTCTTTGTTGGATGTCTCAAGCAACTCTCTGACAGGAACCATACCATTAGAGCTTGGTTTGTGCAAGAAGCTGACACACATTGATCTCAACAATAACTTTCTTTCAGGGGTTATACCTCCATGGATCGGACAGCTTCCATTGTTGGGTGAGCTCAAGCTTTCTTTTAATCAGTTTATCGGTTCACTCCCTGCTGAGATCTTCAACTTAACCAACCTTCTTATGCTATCTCTTGACGGCAATTCACTTAACGGTTCGATCCCACAAGAGATTGGAAACTTGGGAGCTCTCAACGTACTTAACCTCGGAGAGAATCAGATTTCAGGTCAGGTTCCTTCAGGAATAGGTAAGCTTGGCAAGCTTTACGAGCTTCGGTTATCGAGAAACATCTTAACCGGAGAAATCCCTGTTGAGATTGGACAGCTACAAGATCTTCAAAGTGCTTTAGATCTCAGCTACAACAACTTCACTGGAGACATTCCCTCTACGATCTCGACGTTACATAAGCTTGAGTCACTTGATCTGTCACACAATCACCTTGTCGGAGCTGTTCCTGGCCAGATCGGGGACATGAAGAGTTTAGTGAATCTCAACCTCTCTTACAACAACCTTGAGGGAAAGTTGAAGAAACAGTTCTCTAAATGGCAAGCTGATGCTTTTGTAGGCAATGTAGATCTTTGTGGAAGCCCTCTTAGTCATTGCAACACAGCTGGTCTGAACAAAAAGCTTAGCGCGAAAACCGTTGTAATAATCTCAGCTATATCTTCCTTAGCAGTGATAGCTTTGATGGTACTTGTGATCGTCCTCTTCTTCAAGCAAAATCTTGCTCTTTTCAAGAAAGGGAGAGGCGGAAACAGCGCATTCTCAACAAACTCTTCTTCTTCAGAAGCTCCTCTGTTTAGCCATGGAGGTGCAAAGTCAGATATAAAGTGGGAAGACATTATGGAAGCTACACATTACCTTGACGACGAATTCATGATTTGATCAGGAGGGTCAGGAAAAGTGTACAAAGCCGATTTGGTGAATGGGGAGACGGTTGCTGTGAAGAAGATCCTTTGGAAAGATGATTTGATGTCAAACAGGAGCTTTAACAGAGAAGTGAAGACACTTGGAACAATCAGACACAGACATTTGGTTAAGCTAATGGGGTACTGCAGCAGCAAAGCACAAGGTTTGAATATGTTGATTTATGAGTACATGGAGAACGGAAGTGTATGGGATTGGCTTCACTCTAAGAAGAAAGAGGTTCTCGATTTGGAAACAAGATTGAAAATAGCAGTTGGGTTGGCTCAAGGAGTAGAGTATCTTCATTTTGATTGTGTTCCTCCTATTGTTCACCGTGATATCAAGTCCAGTAATGTGCTTCTTGACTCCAACATGGAAGCACATTTAGGAGATTTTGGACTGGCCAAGATCCTAACTGAGAGTATTGACACCAACACAGAATCAAATTCTTTGTTTGAAGGCTCTTATGGCTACATTGCACCAGGTACATATATGTTTCTTGAGTTTCTTGATTTCGTTTTCTACTGTTAATGCTAATGTTTTTTTTCTTCTTTTGTTACATAGAGTATGCTTACTCGTTGAAGGCGACTGAGAAGAGCGATGTTTACAGTATGGGGATAGTGTTGATGGAGATTGTGACTGGTAAAAAGCCAACAGAGGGAGTGTTTGGTGAAGAGACGGATATGGTTAGATGGGTAGATACAGTTCTTGGTTCTGCAGCGAGAGAGAAGCTAATTGATTCAGAGCTTAAACCGCTTTTGCCTTGTGAAGAAGAAGCAACTTATCAGGTTCTTGAAATAGCAATTCAGTGCACTAAGACTTATCCTCAGGAGAGACCATCTTCAAGACAAGCTTGTGACTGTCTTCTCAGTGTCTTCAACAATAGAGGTGCCAGTTATAGAGAGATGCAAAGTGGTTCCGACATATGATTTGCGTAGACATAGTCGTTTTGCGTTGAACAATTAAATTGATCATGTACTAAGTTATATCGTTCAAATGGTATGAAATAATGGCTTCATCGAGAAAAGTTTGTCATTGAGGTTTTGATTTAGTTGATAAGGGTTTGTGCTACTTTGGTTAAGCTTCTTCTATTATAATGGTTGTTATATAGCTTCCCAACCACCAAACTTGCTTATACAAATCAAGAAACTGTACGTAGTAAAATCCAAAACAAAAATTATTAAAACGATTTTCTTTTCTTTTTTTAACTTTGAGACAACTTTGTTATTGTAGGTGAATTAGAGCATCTCCAACCATTAAAAACTAGGTGAAATTCTATTAAAAATACACATATATATATATATATATATATATATATCTCTATTATTAAAAGAGAAGTACCCACTAAAAAATGCCCCTAAGTTTTCCAACTTATTTACACTCATATGCCACTGAGAATTTAATTAAACTTCCTATTTAAATGCTTGTCTTTTTCAGTTATATTAATTAAACATCCTATTTAAATGCTTGTCTTTTTCAGTTATATTAATAAGTTATTTAATCAACCAAAAAATACCTGCATCACTAACATGTCTTTTTCACGTATATTAATGATAACTCATTTACTGCATCACTAACATCACTGATATATTACATGCATCTAAAATGTGTATCAATAAAACATGCATCACTAATATAATATAGAGAAATATAATATTAACTAACACACAATATAACATGTGCATGTATTNATCACTAACATGTCTTTTTCACGTATATTAATGATAACTCATTTACTGCATCACTAACATCACTGATATATTACATGCATCTAAAATGTGTATCAATAAAACATGCATCACTAATATAATATAGAGAAATATAATATTAACTAACACACAATATAACATGTGCATGTATTAACTATATTGGTTTATATAATGTATTCTATGGTATAATAACGTCACTGTTAAAAAGTAATATAGAGATAACTCTAATTTCAATATCAAATCGGATTACCAATCATATACACATATTCAAACAGCTAATGCCCACAAGATTCAAACAGCTAATCCGATTACCACCTATCCATTTTCTAATTTTTTTTTTTGTAAAAACAATTGAATAAATAGAAAATCAAAACAGAAAATCTTATCTCTATTATAACAGAAAGTTTTGCAAGATCTAATCCGATTACCATCTATCGATTTTCTAAAAAAAAAAAAAAAACAAAAACAATTCAATAAATACAAAATCAAAACAGAAAATCTTATCTCTATTAAAACAAAAAGTTTTGCAAGATCGTATCCTTAAATCAATATCATATCCAAGATTTTCGCATCATAAGCATATATTTAATTTCAACCTGATTGGTCTATAATTTCGGTAACTAATTTTCTTGCGGAAGAGGAAACAATAAATTTAAAATCTAATGGAATATATAGATTGAACCAAATTCCTATATTCGGGTATATTTTCGAAAGAAATAGAAAAAAAACGGTTTTAACATGGGTTTCAATAATGTGGGCTTTCAACATATTATTTTGACACAGAACAAATGATCAGAAGTAATATATTATCTATATATAATAGCAAACTGAAAGTGACATCAGCATTTTTTTATAGGAAAAAAAAATTCAATCTAATGGTCATAGTTAACTTGATTTTAAGATCTAATGAACCAAAAAAAATCTTTTCATATGATTGATGATGTCATCAAATATTTGACACCTCTTCATTGAAAATGCATATATTTCATTTTAATAGCCACAATCATATTTGTCATACACTTTCATAAGTTTAAATATTAATATTGACTTTTTAGAAGATAATATTTGTATGTGTCGTGACCGAAGAGGTATTAACGTATCGTGATTCAAGAGGTACGAACATGTCGTGACCCAAGAGGTACAAATGTGTCTTGACCCAAGAGGTACAAATGTGTCATGAACCAAGAGGTACGAACGTGCCGTGACCCAAGAGGTGCGAACGTATCGAAACCGAAATGGTGCGAACGTGACGGGACCGAAAGGGTGCGAATGTATCGGGACCGAAAGAGTGCGAACGTGTCGGTACCGAAAGGGTGCGACGTGTCGGTACCGAAAGGGTGCGAACGTGACGGGACCGAAAGGGTGGGAACGTGTCGGGACCGAAAGGGTGGGAACGTGTCGGGACCGAAAGGGTGGGAACGTGTCGGGACCGAAAGGGTGCGCATGTATCGGTTCCGAAAGGGTGTGAGCATGTTGGTACCGAAAGGTTGCGAACGTGTAGGACCGAAAGGGTGCGAACGGTTCGGGACCGAAAGGGTGCGAACGGTTCGGGACCGAAAGGGTGCGAACGGTTCGGGACCGAAAGGGTGCGAACGGTTCGGGACCGAAAGGGTGCGAATGG